GATTCGGTGGATGGATTTATTGGTTTTAGGAGCAGTTTGTTGATTTTAGTTATTTATTGCGATTATTTTATGATGTGAATGAAAGGAAAATAAAATAAAATAAAAATCCTTCTCTGACATTTAATGTTCTTGCGACTCGATCAAATTGACCGGTATGAATTTATTCTTGGCATATAATTGATTGAATTTGATCAAAATGAATCATTTCCCAAGATTGACCACTTAAAGGATAAATGAAATGAATGAAAATAAATTTGTCATAAATTTGTTTAGAAAAAAAATTGGGTCTGTCCAAATGACAAAATGAATGTCATCCATCATTTACTAAGCCCTTTTAGTAAACTGGAGACAATTTACTAAAAGAAATAATTGACAAGTTTTAGTAACAGCGAAAGAATGCTGTTAATTGTGAGATGTGATGTGTGCGAGCGTTTTTGTGACTTTGTGATTCGTGTTGGGGTACCTTGAAAGCTTAACAAGTGGTAAATTTAAATTTGCATTCAATATCTAATTTTGAATCAGTGGCTTCACTAACTACGATTGGTGATCTGTTACGCACATCTATGCCACCTACGTACTTAATATACACGTCGTCATTTCGAATCAGTGATTTCAATAATTTTCAATCAGTGATTTCGCTAATTACGATTGACGTTAGGCGTCCAAAAATTCCAGAAATGTAATGAATTTCAAATTCAAATGGATTATCGAGGATGAGCTGTTTGATGCAAAGAACTGATACAAAATATTGACCGCAATAATGAGTTAGATGTGAGATACGTCGTTAAATATGTGATTTATACTAGCCGAAATAAAGATATATCTTATTTATAACAAACTGACCAACATTCTAGAACATTTTTTATTCGCTTTTTTTTTTTAATTAAAAATCGTTTGCCTCGCAAACGTTGCATGTACAAATGTAGTGTGCGAATAAAAATATGCCATAAATACTCATCGTATTTGTTATCAATTTATTGTCATCCATATGATTCAAAATTAACTAAAGCATTTAACTTTATTGGCATATTTTAAGTTTCATGGCCTATATAAAATTGAAAATGATCACAACACATTTGTGCACACTACATTTATCCACGCGATATTTCCGCACACTACATTTGTACATGCCACGTTTGCGAGCGCAACATTTGCGTACACGGTTCTTGCT